CAGCCACACTTTTCAACATTAAACTCGAGTCTCTAGGTGTCACACCATCTATCCATTTCTATTAATTCTTCATGTATGGAGTTCATAGTTTTGGTGATATCTGTATTTGTGCAGGTATATGTCACCTTCAAGTCATCTGCATACAGCATTGGCTTGCCTATACTAAAGCATGCACATATACTGTTAATGTATGTAATAAAAAGAAGGGGTCACAATACACTCCCCTGGATGACACCACTGCTGATTGGTCTAGGTCTGGAGGTCATTGAGCCAACTTTATTTGTCTGATTTATCCAATTGTAGAGGGGGTTGCGTATCCCTAGTGAGCATAGCCTACCGACTAGCAGACTATGTGGGACTCTGTCGAAGACTTTCCTTATATCGAAATATTGGATAATTACTAGTTCTCTCCTATGTCTTCTATAGGTGACTTTGCTGAAATAGTCTGTATGGCAAGTGACGCAAGGTCTTTTCTTGAGGAATCCGTGTTGTGACAGCTTGATGAGTTTATGTTTTAGAAAGTAGTCTGACATTTGGTCTTTGATTACTTTCTCCATGATCCTTGATATGACTGGTGTTATATTGATAGGCCTATAATTACATGCACTAGTTTTGGCCCCTCCTTTATGCTTAGGTAATATATATGTGTTTTTCCAAGTTTCAGGTAGGTTCAAGTCTCTAGTGAGATATTAAATATTCTGAGCAATAATACTATCATATCCGTACCACCGTTTTTGTATATGACGGATGGTTTATTGTCTATCCCACAACTACTGTTAGCTTTTAATGTCCTTACCGCCGATGCTATATTTTGTATATTTAAGTTGATTTCACCTAACTTGTAGTTATTTTTGCAGGTTATGTCGAGAATTGGGGACGGATGCGCTTTGGTGTTATTGCAGAACCACTCACTCAGGAGATCATCATAAATTATACCTTCTTCAGCCGTTTTTGCAAGATCTTGCATAGTTCCTGAGTTTTAGAGGTGCTCTCTAGGGCTTTATTTTCCTCGAGTTGTGCCTTCATTTTATGTCTCTCATCTAAATTTTTAAATGTTTCGTGTATCTGGTGTAATGCACTAAATTCTTTGTATAAATAAGATTTCCTTTTTAGTTTCCTTAGTTTTATTCGCGTTATGCGGTCTATGAATAGAGTTGGTGTCTTTAGGGCAGATTTCAGGGGTGCGATTTTGTCTCTTGTCGAACTGATTGTCTTGTAGAAGGTATTAAGTGTTACTTCTAAGTTATTATTGGGAAAGTATTCACCCCAGTCAGAACTTCTCAAGAGCGTTGATAGGAATTCCCAATAGGCATTTCGATAGTCCCTATACTGATAGTAAACCGAGGAACTTTTAGGTGTGTGTTTAGTTGAAGAGGTAGGGAGCAGTACAATATGTTGTGATCACTGTTGTTGAGTTTATACCCCACCTCTATCGAGATCGGCTCTATTTTGTGGCAGAGGATTAAGTCGAGAATATTGTTGTGTCGTGTTGGGAGGCGTACGCACTGCTTCCATCCTCCTACATCTATGGCTTCTAGGATCACCTCGTAGGTTTTCGGTTCAGTGCAGGTATCCTAGTTCACTCCAGGGAGGTTGAAATCGCCACAAACTAGTTTGTAGTCGAACTCCAGCTTAGGTACAAGCCCTAGTATTTCTCCGATAACCGTATCAGTCGTTTTAAGACCGTTAGGGGCTCTATATACATCCCACAAGAATTTTATTTCCATTCGTGTGGATGCTTATCCACATAGATTCTGGGAGTTTGTCGACAGTTAGGTTTGTAAAAGTATTGGAGTCAGTGGATTTACGAGCATATATTAGACACCCGCCTCCTCTTTTGTCCACTATGTCATTCCTGTGGATGTTATATAATTATCACCTTTGTGTGAGGTACATCAGTAGTAAGCCAAGTTTCAGTTACCAGAATAAGTGTTGGCCGCTCCATGTATACCAAGCTGCGAAGGGAACTTATTTTGTTAAGGAGATCGAGCATAATTTTCAGAAAACCAGGGTTGTTGGGAGGGTAGTAGGTTTTCTTGTTACCATCCCTAACTCCTGGTCGCCTATGTTATGTTCGGAGGGATTCTCAGATGAGACATTGTCAGCCTGACTACTATTCCCTGAACAAATTGTGCTGCGAGAGAGAAGGCTATTGTTTGCTGCAACCGAAAATAATCCTGTTGCATATATTGGTTTCTGGCCTCATTACGTGGGTATCGAATCATTTCTCGGCATTAGATAATCTGTTTCACCGTTCAGATTCTAATTTACAGGGCCGTAGTACCCTGTTTTTAGGTTGTTTTGAGGATAGTGCGTGCTAGGTTTTACGTAGTTGTACATTTGTTGACTTGTTTTGAGCGTATACCTAGGAGGATCGTGAGCCAATCTACACCCGTTATGCTGAAGGGGCTTTATGATATGTATCCACATATATATATATATGTGTGTGTATGGTGATCTCTCTTTCTGTTTGCTCGCTTAGTCTGTGACTATTTCACTTTGATGAACCTGTCTCCTTTAACAATGTATATTCCCCTTATATTATATATAATATGAGTGTTTGTTGACAGTCCGTTGCTTGGTGACATATATCCATACTATGTGTGGTTGTTGACATGTCTGCTATGTATATATGGATCGATACTCCATTATAATTAGCCATTCATGTTAAGACTGTCTATTGATTTGTTCACACCCTTGTCTGGACATTCATATATATTTCGCTCTCACAATTTGTGACTTATTTTTGGTGTGATACTACTTATTGCTTCTCCTTGTGTTTGGAAAATAGAAGTATCATCGCAAACCTAGTGGTCTTCTGATTTCCGTCTTTCTTGCGTCAGGACTATTAATTTCTCGACCAGTACATAACAATAATTTGGCGACGGGGAAAACTACTATTAACCACACAGCAGCAACAACATAACACTTTACGTAACTACTACGAGGGTTTAGGCACACATTTCCGTTGATATGGTACCTAGTGGTGTCCCGTACAGTAGCCCATGTGTTTTCATTACTAATCACGGGTCCCGTTCTCAGATTATATGTGCTTATAGGCATATTAAAACCTCGGCTATTACGGAAATCGTGGGTGTCACTCTGCTGTTTAATCAACTCGGCTCCCTTGCATGCCTGCTGGCGTGTGATTTTGTAGGGATAAAGCTCATTTTGCTGTTAGTTCTCACCTCGTGTAGTCAGTCTGTCGTCCACAATTTGTCTACTACTCTTAGTTCGATGAAGAGTACTTCCACTCACGTGTTCCGTCTCTTTTATGGGACCTGCCGGAATGCGTGCATAATTCATTTTTAGGCTTACATGTTGGGCTTGTCACAGGGGAGTTATATGGACGCATGTGGAGAGACCTTGGTTTTAGGTGACTTCTTTACGGCTTTTACAGTGAGATTATCTTGTCTGGCCCTGGGTGCACTGATATTTGCAGGTTATCGGTAGCAGGAGCATCTATGTCTACTTCATGTATATGGTGCGTAGATTTCCTAGGAGTGTTCTCACAAACTTCGGGACCCATTACAGTGTTACTGCTCCTTTTGGGTTTCCCTTCACCTTCGCGTGTCGTTTGTTCACCTAGTACAGTGCAATTGTCACTTTGTGCTTCAGCGTCCTTTGACACTTCGGCACTGATGCTATTCATGATTTCTTATCTAAGATGTTCTTAGCTACTTGTCGTTGGTGGGGTTTTGTCTGGGACTATTTTAAGATTTTTGTAGTGGAAGCCAAAATATCCCCAGATTTCCTAAATTGTTCGGCTATAATACAGCTGTCAAAGCTGAAAAGTATAGGCCATGTGGGGTTTGACTCTTTATTTAGTTTAATACACTGACAGGGTGTACTTCAGAGGTTTGCAGCTCCTAATAAGGAGTGCTGAACCGACTTCATGGGCTCATTGTCAGGTATGTTGTACACTATGGTGTTCTGTTTAGAAGCAAGTCTCTTCACAAATTCGTTCGACACAGTCCATAGAGTCTTCTAGCTCCTTAGCATGTTCCAATTCAGTATCCGTTGGTTTAGTCCTGAGTTTAAAGAGTTTTCAGAAAGTGAGATCCCCCAGTTCCTTTTTAAGATGAAAGATTGTTTCTGGTAGATTTTGTTTCGTCCTGAGTTCATTTGTTTGTAGCTGCATGTCGTTTATGAGGCAGACTAAGTTAGTAATCTCTGCCTTTTCTGACAGGATATTACAGGGGTTAGCATTATGTTAGAACCGTTCGTATCGGGTGAACTACTAATTGCAGCTGATTTAAGGAGTGATCATGCGTTACTAGATAAGCTTAAGCTATTTTCTAAATTACTAGTGTGTCTAAGAACACGCTTCTACCCATTATTATTGGTGATAATATAGCAGGACAGAAAAATGAATATCAGCGAAAACACATGCAAAAGTTTCACCAAATTACCTGAATATTCATAGTTCATTGGTTAACCGAAACCACCAACAGAAAACGAATTAAAGTTTCGAGGCCCACTCAACCTTGATGACAAACTTAGTGACGGATTTTACAGTTTAACACTGATATGGACATATCCGACTGGCTTTATTTTATTGCATATCCTTGTTAATTGTAACGACGTCACAGTCAGTTGATATGGTGGCTTAATGATAAATTTATTTATTTATAATTTTATTCCTTTGTGTTCCCAATGGTCCATAGGGCTTCAAGCTACAGCTTTGAAGTTTCGGTAACAGTGGGGTTTATTTTTACGGGGTGGGATTGCTAGTCTCACAACCAAACTTCCCTCTTTTCCTGGTGGTTTATGATCAGCTAAGCGAGGTTTGGAAGTGCGTCGGCAGGGAATAGAACCCCTGGTCACTTGAGTGGCTTGCGAGCATTCCACCTCTGCGCCACCGACTCACTTATGACGGATTAAACTTCCTGTATTCTTTCTAAATGAAATTGAGAATTCAAATCAAATTCTGCCACACAATCGCTAACACTATACTCTTCAACTAAGCAATATATATTTGCTGCAACTTTAATCAGAAACGCTTGCTTCCCATACTCATGCCTGGTGCAGTGAGTGGGTAAAGGAATAAAGAATAACAGTAAATTCAAAATTATATTATTAAACATTCAAGAGGGAAAAAAGAATGATGCTGGAATAGTTTGGTGTATTGCCTGAAATGCACTAATAGTCAAAAGCTAAAAGGGATGGGGGGATATACCATGCCGCGATGTAATCTCCCATTTTGTTATGTACATATATACACACACAGACAGACACGTTTACTTTTGTGTTTCTTTATCAACTTCCTCTAATGCTTTTTTGACTTTATCTTCAGTCCGTTTAAGTGTTGTTCGTGCTTCTTCGCGTAACAGATTAACATGCGTCTGCCAAGATCTAGCTGCTAGTTCTTTCTCTTTGAAGTACGTCTACACAGGAAATATATATATACACACACACAAGGAACAAAAAGAGTAACTGTATATATTATTGTATACATATTGATTTGAAAAGCAAAAATTACTGAGCTCAAGTTAATCACCATTCACTCGGTAGAACAAAACATACGCACACACGTATCTGGTGTCGGTTGATGAAACCACCTAGTCCTACAGGAGGACTCAAAGCCTTTAAATGTAGGTGACAGAGAAACATCTCCAAAGAGAATGAATACATGTCGATGAAGTCGACTACATACCACGCCTTGTAAAGGAACTATGGTGAACCAATGAAGCCGATCAAGATAACACCCACTCCCCTCTCTCTCTCCATCCTCAATGAATATTTTGCAGAGTAGATGAGTTTCTGTCTACTGGGTTTAATTTCAATTCCACTTGAAATTATTACAATTATTACTATCCATCATCACCATCATCAATGAGAGAGCCACGATTCGCCGCAATTACAATTTTTTTCTAGTATTTATTCATTCTTGTCTATGCAGGAACATACCAATTGCACAGGCATGGACAAATTATTTATTTAGATTACATGAATTGGGGCTATGGCGAATTTACACGGTTGATGGCCTGTTCGACTTTAGTTAATTGGAACAATCAGCTAACTAGTCAGCGAAGCATGGAAATGTTATCATCGCATTAACAAAAATAACTCTAGTTTGTGTTGGGATGGATCACAAATACATGGGGAAAAATTTTGCTTGAATTCACTTATCTTATATAACTTTGTTGTGTATAGGCATCGAATTTCATCCTTGATTTATATAGTCAAATGCTGAGTTAATCTAAAATGAGTAGAGTATCATTTGTATCATTTCCTCAGCAGTGTAATCGTAGGATATAATTGCATCAGAAGTGGATTAATTCTACTTCATGCAGATGAATATTGGGCATAGAGTAAAGCAGATTTGTGTGACTGTACCGAAAAGATGATACTTTTCCTAAGTCGGGGTATCACCGCCATTTGCACCAGCATTGGGTAGTCTGTACGTGTAAACTGATTCAAGAATAGAAAACTGTTTAGAAACCAGTTGTATCTTCGTTTTAAGTTATGGACACTGCGCATGCAGAATGCTATTCACCGTCCTTATTTGGTTTACCCAGGATCTTTCAAGAATGTTGAGGCGAATAGAAGAGACGAGGCAATCAGCAAAGTACGAGAAAAAGACAGAGTATTTGCACACAAATAGAACTCTAATATGTCTGTATATATACATTTTACATTGCTGTCCAGCAAACATATATACTGATATTCTCTCAGTCTTCATGATATTATATGATTGAAGGCAATCGGCCATAGGAAGCCATGGACCTAGGTTTCGTGCTAGTTGGCACTCACCAGTCAGTCAGCAAGGCGTATATCTCCAACCTTGAAGAAACTCATTTCCCTCCTGAGATTCAAGTCCACGTCACCCAGTGCTGCATTGCACCGTGATGACGAGCTACCTAGAATGGTGGCCGCATTGCAAACCTGTAGATTGATTGGACCGAAGTGCTCGGTCTCAGGTTGACATGTCTATCGGCTCCTTGTGCAGATGCTTCGACGATGTCTGGGCATTTAATTAGAGGTTATTTGGTGGATGGTGACTAGCAGTGGAATCCAGGATAACACGCATTTCGTCCTGCACAAGAAGCCCGCATGTCAACCGGAGACCAAGCACTTCGGTTCAATCAATCGACAGGAAAATCTAAAATTCAGTTAAATAATTAATATGACCTGTTGCAAAAGAGGTGGCCGGCTCTCATGGCCCACGTGGTCTGGTGCATAACGCTTCGACGTTCGAAACTATGGGCATTCGGTTCGAGCCTCGGTGGTGGGAACATCATCACTCACTGGGGAATGCAGATACATCCAGCTGACGAGTCCCATCCAAGTAGGACGAAATGCACGTTATCCTCAATTTCACTGCTAGTCACCATCCACCAATTAAATTCTAAGTAGATACATTAATCTTTTTCACTTTATTCTGAAGGATACAGTGATACAAAAGTAGAACGCATGAAAAGCCTGACATCATCTACAAAATAAACGACAGTAACCAATGCGAAACACTACCCTATACACAGGTATAACTATCTTCTTCTTCTTTGTCTACAAAAGTAACCTAAGCGTGTTACTCAAAATTCACATGAAAATGCAAGCTGTCTTTGACCACCCACAGATGTATGCATCCTATTTCCATTATTATTATTATTATATCCTTTAATTCCTAGAGGAACATAGGGCTTCAGCTACGCGTCTACATTGCCTTCAGTTTTCTGCCAACTTTTTCACTCCGCTCCAAGTCTGCCCACACGCTTTCATCTCCCCTTCACATGACCTCCTCCATGTCACCCTTGCACTGACGACCAACTCGGCGCTTTCCTTTCGGGTTCCACTCGAGCGATGGCTTGTCCAGTGATGTCACTTGATGGTTCCCTCAGTGTATGGCCAATCCATCTCCATTTCTTCCTGCCTATTTGTTTCGCAATCGGTTCCTGTTTGGTTCGCCCCCAGAGATCCCTGTTGCTGATCTTTTCTGGCCATCTGATCTTGAGTATTGAGCGAAGACAGCTGTTAATGAAGGTCTGAAGTTTGTTTGAGATGCTCTTTATGACTCTCCAAGTCTCTGATCCGTATAGTAGCACTGACTTCACATTGGAGTTGAAAATCCGGATCTTATTTTTGATGCTGAGTGCTGTTGACTTCTACACAGACTTAAGAGTTATGAAAGCCTGCCTTGCTTTTCCGATTCTGGCTTTGATATCCTCGTCAGTTCCGCTTGTAGTTGAAACGATGCTTCCCAGGTAGATGAAGGAGGTTGTTTCTTCCGTATTACCTACTATAATATCGTAAGCATGGATGAGATGAAAAGGGTTAGTCAATCAATGAAGTTGACAAGCTACATCGATTGAGATGACTAGGACACACGCTATGCATTCAGAGTCATCGGCCTTTCTCTTCCAGTAATAGCTGACACACACACACACAGTCAGGTTGGAAAAGAGTCAACAATCGTCAAACCAACACTTGCCACAATTCCATGAAACCTTTAACAGGTGGTTTGGATCGACCATGTAGAAAGGTGTAGTGACTATCTGGTCGGGGGTCGTTGAAATGTTAAGAGTTAGTTAATGCAGTTTACCATTGTGCAGTGAGTAAGAGAGAGAGAGAGACACACACACAGAGGAATAATTGCAGTGGAGCAGAGGGAGAGATGGGGAGGAGGACAGTAAAGCCATCTGCTTGAGTTAAAATAATATTGAGAAGGCCTACGTCATCAGTGCTTCAAAGTAACACAGACATTAGATAAAACAAAAGAAACTTAAGGCAATCATCATTAACACAATATCAAGCATGTACACCATGATGAATGCATCCCTGAAAGAATACTGAAAAATCTTTATTCAAAAAAAACAACAACAAACTCACTTGAATATACGGTACAAAGACAGATAATTGGTGATTCACTGTTTCAATTTGAGATTTCCACATAAACTTCTCTTCCATTATGCGAAACAACTTTTCCTATTTGAAATTTTAAAGAATGCATGAGAATTTATTTGTGCTCGTATGTTTGCCTGTTTGTTTTTAAAAACTATCTCTTAGTTTAATTGTAAGGGCTGAAATCAGTACAAAACTGCGAAATAGGTACTACTAAGTTCCCTTGTCTCAAATTGTAATTCAAACAACTGGCTAGCCAGCTGCTACTAGACGAAGCAACATACATACACACACACACACACACACACCGATAAATGGTAATTCTGCTTCACACAGACAGCATTTCAAAGGTTGATTCTCTTCACATCCTCACACAAATCAATGTTTCTCCTCCTCCCGTGTATCTTTAAATCTTTCAAGTACAACCACCACTAGTCTGGGCTTCCAAAGCAACAGGTAACACACACACACAAACTGGATCACAACATAATGCCATCCCGAAAAACATTTTTCACTTTACAAAGGAAACTGTGCGGATGGTCATGGCCAAAGCGGCGGTGTCAGCGGAGCTATTTCACCTCCAGGAACTGTGCAATTTGCAGATTGTGAATTTCATAATAAAAATAATATTCACTGAGATGCTTGTCAATGACAAATCTACTATTAAAAGATATGAATAAATGAACGAATGGCAGAAACAGAATACAATAGACAATACAATAATGAGTGAGCCAGTAGTCCCGACCGGCAGCTGTTGGTCGGGCTTGCGTATATCGCAATGATCCAACAAGCTACACTGGCTGGAAATAATGTTCCTGTAGGTCCTACCATGCCAGTGTAAAATTTCTTTTCTTACACTATGCTGTGGGTCTGTGAGTGAAGATGTGTTGGTGGGGAACAACAATGTAACAGCAGTAAGGTATTTCCCTCACATGACCAACATGTCAGCCAGAGATGCTGTCTCTCCATTCTGGAGAACGCGGAGTTAGAAAACGTTGACCCCAACAATTGTACATTCCGACTTACCCTACGGTGGTCCGTAACCGATGGTAAGTTATTATTACGGAAGGGGAACTAAAATCCAGTTCATACAGACAGTGTGTGTGTGGCTGGCCTCAACTAGTTGTCTCCTGAGCTCTGTGGTCACGAAACACTGATTCTATTTCTATTTCAGGTACTCCAAGAATAAATCAACTTCCACGGTGTGGGTGGCCGGGAAGTAACAACCACCCACACACTCCCAAAAGTACACGAAGCCCTCCTCCTGCGTGCCAGTACATCGGTGCTAAAATGCTCGCTACAGTCATGAAGTAGGGAAGGAGAGGGGCAAATGATGAATACCACCACTACAACACTAACAACACAATAGAATTGTAAGTTAACTCAGCGACCAAACTTTATATCTCACCCCGTTGAGATTTCTTCTCATTCCTTACGTTTATCCAGTGGAACCATAGAGCTTCAGGGGCTGATGACATTTTAATAGCGGTGGTTTCGTTGTTTATTTATTTTAGAGGATAGAGTAATGTCGGCCAGGAATCGAACCTGTATCCCGTGAGTCATTGGCATGTATTCCACCTATTTAACTACCAACGCTCTCCCTTCACATGAGTGTAAATATATATATATATATAGCAGTGTTTATCTGCACTATTGGATAGATATACAGACAGAGAGATTATAAACATCTTAATGTATGTGACAGCATCATTACATCAGACATACATGCCGTGAGAGTAGTAGTAGTGTGGTGAGGGGTGGCTGCTAGCCAAAACTGGTAGACAGTAATTTACGTCAATGTCTACGTCCCCAATATTGGTCATGAGAAAAGAACAAGAACAAAGACTAACTCAACAACCAATCACAGCAGACTTTGTTCGCGTAGGCGGATACAATTTGCACATGGATAATCTGAACTTCACGAATCGGCCACAAACAGATGTGTTATGTACTCGTCGCTAAGTTATTGTTATGGACTGGTCGAGAATTTAATAGTCCTGACGCAAGAAGGCGGAAATCAGAAGACCACTAGGTTTGCGATGATACTTCTATTGTCCAAACACAAGGAGACGAAAATAAATGGTCTCACACCAAAGTGGTAAGTAAGTAAAGTAGTTCACACAAAATGTGTGAACGAAATATATATATAGCAAAATATATAGCAGACATGTCAACAACAACCATATATGAATATATGTCACTAAGCAACGGACTGTCAACAAACACTCATATTATATATAATATAAATGGAATATACATTGTTAAAGGAGACAGGTTCATACAAGTGAAATGGTCACAGACTAAGCGAGCAAACAGAAAGAGAGATCACCATACACACACATATATATATGTGGATACATATCAAGATGAAAGATTAACGTTCAGCGAGGAACCACCAATCAGAAGACTGTTTGTCTACTAACAATAATCTATAATAATGTACATGAAAATCTATAAATATCTGTTGATTTTCTAAATAAACGATCTGTTGCCTGGCCCTTGTGTCTTCTGTCGTTACAGTAGTACTGAACTACAAACTGACTAAGAATATTTCATACTACTTGTTCTACTGTCCAGACGACTTAGCTGTTGTCGTGAACTCGACTCTGTGTTTCAAGTCAAACAATCCCTGGTTAAAGTGAGTGCATTCAGGGATATTTAAAAGTTTAAAAAGAATGCAAATAAGATATATATATATATATATATATATATATATATATATATATATATATATATATATATATATGCATACATACATTCAATTCTGTTTTACGCTTTTCTTCTTCGCAGATTTGTTTTTTTAAATCTTCCAAGCGTTCATGTTTCTCATTGCATCGTTTAATAAATTCTTCTTCTGACTTTTCATCAGAATTATCAATTTCTGTCAATAATTCATCTAGTTTTGTCAATTCATTTTTAACTTCTATCAATTTCGCTTGTAGATCAGGCAAATGCTGAGTTTAAAAATGAAGAGAAGAGAAGACAAAGAAACACTTGGTTATATAGATGATGACATTTCACACATACAAAATACATCCTACAACACACAATTTTAGAGTATAACACAATCTCGGCCTGGTTAGACTTATTATCCCCCAATTTGGAAAACAGTTTTTACAGGTTAACAATTTCAAATCTATACACTGCATGGAAAGCAGCATAACTTAGACAAGTGTGTATGTTAACTGTTCGACTCCTAGCTCTTAAAAATATAAGGAGTGAAGTGGTTAGTGGAGGGTGTTGACCATTTCACTTATTTGGGAAGTTGCATCAACCAGTCCCAACGGGTTGATCGCTGATGAAATTTCAGTGCAGATAAAGAAGGCCTGTTTGCCACTTGCCAAGTAACACATACTCTCTCTGACTTATGAGGCGTGATATCCGGTTGGCCGTCGACCAAAGGGTGTGTGTACTGTTGCTCTGCAGTTCACTCCGTCCTCCTTTATCGCTGTGAGTGAGACATGACCACTGAAAGTGGAAGATATGAAATGATCACCTAGCTGTCTTTGATCCAAGGTGTCCGCGTTATATCTCACGTGTTAGATGGTATAATGTGGTGAGTAAAATTGAGCTTGAGTGTGCAGGAGTGCTAGGTAAGCAGTGGATATCAATCAACAAGGTCGTGAAGTTATATCGATTGAGATAGTTACGACATATATTACACAGGTCTAACCATCGCTTTTTGGCAACTAACCCGCTACTACGGGGTGCCGCCGACAATTATACATCTCATCCAACAGTTGTACGACAATGCTGCATGCCAAGTAATCCACAACGGGAAAGTCACGGAATCCTTCTAGGTGAAGACAGGAGTAAGACAAGCTGGCTGACTGCCTACTACCTCCAATGATTTTCCTAACTGCGGTAGACTGGATAATGCGACAGACAACGGGAAGCGAGGAAACAGGCATAATGTGGACGCACACAAAAAACATGGAGGATCTGGATTTCGCCGATGAAATATGTCTGATTTCCCACAAACTGAAAGATATGCAAGTGAAAAGCAACAAGTCGGCACAACAAGCATCAAAGATAGAACTTCACTTAAGGTGAACATAGAGAAAACAGAGGTGTGATTAAGATTCCTGGCCAACACCAACAGCAGCAACAACAACAGAAAACAATCAGCATCAGTGGGAAGAACCTAAAAGAAACAACCTCCTTTACATACCGACCTGGGAAGCATCGTTTCAACCACAGCCGGACGGAACTGACGAGGATATTAAAGCAAAGATCAGGAAAGCAAGACAAGCTTTCAATACTCTCATCAAGTCTGTGTGGAGGACAACACCACTCAGCATGAAAAATAAGATCTGGATTTTCAACCTCAATGTGAAATCAGTGCTACTATACGGATCAGACACTTGGCCGGTGCGTCATGAAGGGCACTTCGAACAAACTACAGACCTTCATCACCAGCTATCTTCGCTAAATACTACTCAAGATCAGATGGCCGGCCAGAAAAGATCAGCAACAGGAATCTCTGGAAGCGAACTAACCAGGAACCGATTGTGCAACAAATCTGCAGGAAGAAATGCAGGTGGATTGACCAGATGATGTGATTATGAGTAATAATTATTTGTGCTCGAAACATCATCAGTAAACATTACTGTATAACACTGTGAGACTTTATCAAAATAAATCTTACCCACAATGGAATTATACTCTACTACAGTGCACAAGTTCTATTCTTATATCAATGGATTGGTCATACTCTGAAAAAACCATCAAGTGACATCACACGACAGGCCATCTACTCGGGTGGAACCCGAACAGGAAGCGGCGAGTCGTACGTCAGTGCGAGGGTGACATGGAGGAGGTCTTGTGAAGAGGAGATGAAAGCATGTGGGCCAGGTGAAAAGGTTGGCGGAGAACCGAACGCAATGGAGACGTGCGGCCGAACCTCTATGTTCCTCTAGGAACTAAAGGAAACAACAATAACCATCGCTTTCCTCTACATTCCAATGTTAGCTGACACATAGGATTGATTACGTTAGAAACGAGCCAGTGGTGGTGGTCAAACCAAAACAAAGCATTAGTCTATGAAATCAATAACAGTTAGTTCAGGCCAGCCACGCAGGGAGGTGTACACTCGGGATAGTAAGAACCAGTGAAGGCTGGAGACAATTGGTGATGTGGCTCAAAATCGTTCTCAATGGCTGGCGTGGATGTATTTTCACTCTTTGTGCTCTGCAATATCCAATGAAATTATGTTCTTTATCCCTCTCTCACTCTCTTCTCTGGCTTTGTCGGCTACGTCGAGGAAGACAGTAGGAACTCGAACTGTTAGACATCAATGCAAAGTAGTTCTATGTTGAAACCAATCAGTTAGTCAGTCAGGAATTAGGACACTTCAATGATAATAATAATAATAATACTGCCTTATATAACACTCTCTAATCAATCAATATTATGACTTAAAGCTTCATGCACAACACAACATAAAAAAGAATTTTGTGCAAAATAATTCCATAAAACTTAACTTATATGATTCTGAGGTTTAAAATATACAATGAGATAAGAGGGGGAGGGGGAGAAAAAGATGAACTTACAGACTTGTTAATAGATGCTTCAAGTGTTTTTATTTCGTCAATCATATGCTGAACTTTCTCTTCTTTAGCAGATATAATCATATTAAATTGATCAATACAATGTGTGACAGCTTCAATTAATCTGGGGATTTCTTTGGTGACATCAAATCCTTTACGATATGTACATACATCTAAATTACACTTTTCAGCTATGGCTGAATACTCAGGTAACTAGACAAAAACAAAATTGGAGAATAACAGTAGTATATTAATAATAATAATAATAATAATAATAATAATAATAATAATAATAATAATAACAAGGGTATAAGGAGGGATTTCTTCATCATTCAGACAAATTCTGAGCTGACAGGTAAACTGCAAGTAATTTGGAAATTGAAAACGGTATAAAAATACAGCTCACATTGAATACATTTTCATCTTTAGTTGATCTAACGTTCCAATCAATTTAATTAATTGGAACCTACAAACCAACATTTGTAGGGATTTAATTTAATTTAATTATAGCTTGACTTCACACAGTATTTTTGATACAAGTATGGAATTTTCAGCATGTGATATCGGTAGGCCAAATTTAACAGGCCGATCATTGATATCGGGTGTACGTCGGCCGGGGAATTGAACCCCAGATCATGTGCATGATCGGCGAGCGTCCTCCTAACCACTGTGCTTTGAAGCTTGAAGCTACAGTAGTGATGACGTCTTTTTTCTACGGGTGAGATCGCCAGCGTCACGCGTTCAGCCTTTCCCATTTTTCAAAGCTTACTACTGCTGACCTGACCAAGTGAGATTTCAAAGTTCTACTACACCAGTGCCAGGTGTGTGTCATTCGTGAGTATTCTGACACTCAACACTGAACCAGAGACGACGCAGTATATACTATGAAACGAATAATGACTCTAACCAATCTGAACATTAGTCATTGAAGAAATCAACTGACAAGCTACTACTTATTGAAGCAGGAGGTTGTATAAGAGAACATAACCCAAATAATACTCAAGAATTAGTCTAGCTAACAACATACCAAATCATCATTACTAAATCTGTCTGTCTGTCTGTTTTCGACATAGAACTTTGCACAAATGTGCGGAAGTTTAAGTCGCCACACTCCGTGTAGCACGCGAAGCAAGAGAAGAAAGTACAAGAAAAGCATAATAGAAACAGTGAGCAGAGGTGTGAGACAAAGGAGTAATAAAGAAAAACAAAACAGTTTCATTGGAGATCATAAGTCACAAGGAGTGGATCATTACTAAATGAAATCACAGAAGTTAGAAAAGAAAAATCATTTCATTCAAAGGATAGATAAATACTACTACACTTCAATGAGGATGTTAAAGCCAACCCTGGATCGTAAAGACAAAACACACACACTCCATACCTTGAAATCAGTGCAGAAATCACCTACTGCATTATGTGTATAAGGAAACAGATCCGAATTTTCAATGCCAATGTCAAGTCCGTTAGTGTTTTCAATATTCTTCGGAAGATGTGACGCATGTGTCATTATGTAAAGCATTTCTAAGCGGCTGTTAATCCTCATATCAACAGTCGCCATCTACCACAAAGGGCAACCAACCAACAACCTATCCCCCCTCCCTTAATAAATCCACACACGGAAATAAATTAGATATACGCCGATATCACTGGAATGATATCATCCATCAGGCAGATCCTCGACTGGAAACCCGATGAAAAATGACGAGTAGTTAGGCGTTCAAGGATGAAATGGGGAAGACAGTGAAACTACAATTTAACTATCTGCATGCTTTACACTAAGCCTTCTGTCACAAATGGAATCATTAGATGTCCTTACAAAGGTTGTATAACATTGACTGACTAACCAGTGAGTCAGTCAGTCAGTTAGTCATTAGTCTGGTACAAAGCAAGACTTACAAAACAGGATATTGATTAAAAATCATTTCAAATCCTATTCATTAGTTAACTAACTAATTAATTCATTAATTAATTAAAAAGATAAACAAACCCTCAAAGTTCCCACAAGACGATTATAGTCATCCAAAGTTGGAGCAATCACACCTTCAAGACGAGTATAATCTAATTGTTTTTGTTCCAATTCCTTTGTCAACTCTTCTTTAACACGTGTTCTAGCCTCAAAACGTTCACACAGCACACGATACTCTTGTCGCAACTTTCCATAGCTAGACACACAAAAAATGTATTCAAATAGAAATACTAATTAAACAAAAGCATTTATTTAGAAACAAAGTGCATTTTTGTAGCCTAAAGCAAACTGATGCCCTCCCTACTCTAATCATCTAGTGTTGTTTATACGCATGTTATTACTGAGCTATCTGCGAGGCAACAACCATTCTCTCATACAAATAGGATTCAATGTCTGAAAGCAAATTTCTAGCATATTGCTTTGTTTAAGCACTCCACTACTTACAACTACGACTACAACCACTAATTGACCACAGGCTTCAGCCTCATTCCATCAACTAAGGTTTCTACGACCAGATAGTAGTACACCATCAACCTTCACATAAAATATATGTATATGCCTCATTATTCCCAGTTGCTTGTTTCTTATTTATGACTACCGAAGGCTAATTGACACAGTTTGCCCTGCTAATGCTACCTCCACAAGAAACACAAATACATAAAGATTACATTGAAAGACCATGGAAGCAATTTCATTTTCCAACCAGATAATATATATTTTAGCTGTGAAAGAAATGTGTCGCATGTGTTACTGACAAAATCTGCCAGTAGTATATTAAAGGAGAGATGTTAATCCCCGCACAAAAATATCAAAAACAGAGGAGTGATAGACTTGACGTCAAAGAGAGAAAATGAATCAGTGTGACAGCAAAATATGACACAGACACGAAAAGAGGACGAAGAAACACAATACGAAGGAAAGGCAGAAGTCGCACAGTATGGAAGATCTGTGCAGAAGACAATTTTCAGATAAGGTGTACATATAATTTCCTCAGATAGTGATATCAAATTTCAAATAGACATTCCTATTTTGTCTGCTATTACACATGTAATGTCCAGACAGGGAAAAGAAAATAAGCGGTATATACATAGGTCACTGTTCACCCTTATTCCTTCCTGGATTGCTTAAAAAAGACTACGTCATACTTCGTAGAACTCTGAAGATTGTCGGTCAGTAGGGCGAGCGGTATCCCACTGGGCCATACCCTTGACATTGTCACTGATAGGCGCTTGATGTCATGCAACAAATTTGCTAAAGGAATTTTGTCAGACTGTGAGCACCCGCTCTACCCGCAGCTCCAACCTTGTGTCTCCTCAGGTAAAACAAGAAGTCATTTTCATCAAAAGACTTTATGCACGCACGTCTAAGTATAAAAATCCCACCATACCATATTTCACGGCACGTACTTAATGTGATGAAAATAGTGTCAGGTATGAACTAACTAACCTTCTTTGCACTAACTGAATAAACCACTTCCTCCATCCCTACAACATCAAACTTTATTGTTATTGTATTTCTTGTATTTACAATACTCTCGATTTTTTGTTTTTGTTTATTTTTTTTTCATAAGTGTGAACATCATTGAAGCTTTGTGGATAACTGTTAATTTTGTATTTCTCCTCACTATACACTATATCAACAGAACATTAGATCAAATAATCTATAACATGCTAAAATTTCCAAACTATATCGACAATACTGTTTGAAACAAACTCACTGTTATTATTATTAGTGTAATACAAGTGTGTGAGGTCCGTGTGCACCACATCAATCATGAGCACCTCGAAATACTAGATTGCAGCCTGGAGGATATAACAGTACGTCTCCATTGTACTTTCCCCTCTCAAAGTAGTTGGATGATGAGGTAGGAGATTTCCTATTTGCATTCATCGGTCACTGGGAGCGCCAACAAGCTCACATGTTTAGTCCTCAGTATTGGCGCCAAATGACTGACTCACCCACTTCCTCACTGAATTCCATCAATCAAGTTTTCAATGTGGTCACACCAATCAACGGAACTCGTTGTGAAATAATCTTAAGTGGTTAGTAACAATCCACAGAAGGCCAAAAACATATATATCGTGCTTTTTCCTACTCGTCAGCTGGAGTGCATCTGCATCTTCGAAGAAACTCATCGCAACCACCCGTCGAGGATTCCAATTCCCCTCACACAATGTTCCACTCACAGATGTCACTATCGAACCAGGCGAATCTCAACAGAACACATTTCATTCCATTTTTCAACTATTAGGTGCATATATACACATATCTGCATCGTAATGTGTCGTAGTATCAAATTTTAAGTATGCGTTATCTAAAATACGTCCAAATAGGCTAAAATGAGCCATTTTTCAGGACAAGGCTAGGTGACGCAACAATTATGTAACAAATTCTACATTAAATTTCCTCATAGAAACAAGAAATGCTGTAATAGCAGATTACAAAACAGGGGAAAGAAACTTGACATGAATAAAAGCAAAATACATCCACCTACCTACCCAGCATCATCTTGTTCTTTCACTTTTGCACGTACTTCAGCCAACTTCAATTCACTTTCTTTCAATTCTACCTCAACGTCTTTTACGCTCTTCGCTAACTCATCATCCATACACTAGAAGCGAAAAACAACGAAAACAAACAAACAAACAAACCACAGTTAACAAAGAAATTCAGTGATTTCAAGATGATGCATCGCATCACCAACTGACTTCAGTTAGACAATCACTGATAACCAACTAGGAAGTACTGGACAGCTGTTTCCTTCTTCTCTGTGACTCTTCGGGCAATATGCACCAGGTATTTACTTTGCACAGATTTTATTGGCTACTCGGGTTACTTCACCAACTGACATAAGAGAAATGTGAGTCGATTGGTTGGAAGTCGATTGCCAAAACTTACCAGTTACCGCTCTACCCGCTTACAACATAATAGAATTTAATACACAGGAAAAATCCATACAAGAAACACTCTCAGAGAAATGTCGTGAATTGCTGTACACCAAAGAATTATGCTCATCATCTTAAAACATTTTGAGATACCTTCTAAATTATGCAAAATCATAATTACTACAACGTCCAAATTGAAATCTTTACTAAATAATGACAACTGTTCCACGTGATTCGCCTGTATTCTTAACATAAGTGTCTCACGACATAAGAAGTGTGAGATTATAAAGTTTACAGTTATATGCCTTCAAATCTTTAAAGTTTCAAAACTCCAATATCCTTGAAATTGATGCTGCTAGATAAGCAAAAAAATTCTGACGATACTGATGAAAGCAGATAAGATCCTCTTGAAACAAAACATATCTTTCCCGTCTACATGAATGTTTCCTAATTCACAGCATCTAAAAACATGAAAACCAAGATTAAATTCATATGAACTGTGATCAAGATTTGACCGGATAGTTGCATTTATAAAATTATATTTGTAAAATCTCAGCGAAATTGAAATGATTCATTCCAACGTTTCGTTCGGAAATCTGGTCCGAGCTTCTTCAGGGAAATTAATCGAAATTAACATAACAAAGGTTTATACATAAAAGGAACAACTCTTGTTTTGGAAACTTTGTCAAATCATGAGCCATGAAACAGGAATCAACATGTATAATAAACAAAACTGTATGAACTGTGATCAAATTTTGACCTCAGACTTTCAAAATTAGTCTACTTTTGTTAAAATATATGTGTATATGCCATATACAATGGTGTGTGTGTGAGGGGGGAGGGGGGTGAACAGTCATAAAACACTTGTTATACTCAAGTATTTGTTATTCTCTCCATAAGAAGGCGTAGACAATCGGGAATTTCACCAAGTGTGACTAGTTGTTGATACATATCCAACTTTATTTATTAGTCAGGATTTGCCATGCATCAGCTAACATCACACCTTCACGTCTGTTCAAACTGTTGGGATTCACCCAATATATGTAGGGCGTCTGCAGTCAGTCTTTCTTTATATGAACCAAAATCTGTCTTTTTGTAAAACCTTAGTCTTATTATAGCCGATTTTGTGTCCCATTTCTATCGAATGCAGTGCAATCGCTGAGTTGTTTTCTAGCTTCTTCAAGTCTGTAGAGGTCTTTAGAACCAGCTTTAAACATTGTTTATGCTCATTATAGGTTTCCAGACCGTAGGTGTTACGAATTTCCTGGAATAATTTGAGCGCCGAGTCAGATTGAATCACTATAAATTATTTAAATTAATCCCAGCGTGTTAAGAAAATCAAAACAAGATTTTTCTGAACGTTTCGCCGTGCAAGCCACAGCTTCTACAGCAGATTTATTCGGATAATTATTATTTATTTATTATTTAATTATTCGGATAATCCGAATAAATCTGCTGAAGAAGCTGTGGCTTACACGGCGAAACGTTCAGAAAAATCTTGTTTTGATTTTCTTAATACGCTGGGATTAATTTAAATAATTTATAATGAATTGTTTATGCTCTTTCACTCTTATATTTACCTGTCTGGATGTTTCTCCTACATATACGGCGTTACAACCCCCCCCCCTCCCCCAATTGATCTGGTATACGCAATTCTGCTGGTTTTCTTGTTCTATTTTATCCTTAACCTTCACTAGTAATGAGCGCAAGGTGTTAGTTGCACGACAATACACTCTTATGTTATGATAGTTAAGGATTCGCTTTATTTCATCGGATGTTTCTTTGCGGTAAGGAATCACCGCTGTACTGTCTGTCTGTTTTCGACATAGAACTTTGCACAAATGTGCGCCAGTTTAAGTCGCCACACTCCGTGTAGCACGCGAAGCAAGAGAAGAAAGTACAAGAAAAGCATAATAGAAACAGTGAGCAGAGGTGTGAGACAAAGGAGGAGTAATAACGAAGAACAAAACAGTTTCATTGGTGGAGATCATATGTCACAAGGAGTGGATGCATCTGCGCCACTGAGAACGATTTTGAGCCATGTCACCAATTGTTTCCAACCATAGATTTTTACCGTCCCGAGGACCCCAGCCTGGAAGTCTACACCTTCCTACGTGGCTTAGACCAACTGTTGTGGATTTCATTGACTGGTGCCAAGTTTTTGTTTGACCGTCGCTAGCTTTTTTCCAGCCTGACCCTATATCCGCTAACATTGCTCGACGAGGGAGGCGATGGCTTGGCATACGTAACACATATCCTAACTACCGCTGTACTAACCCAATTCTTATCAGCATGTTTCGATTCATCCTTATCTTCACATTTTAAATATCGTTTTATGAAGTCTTTAGGATAATTATTTGATTCAAGAGTGGTTTGAACCAATTTTAGTTCCTTGCTAATATCTTCTTCCTCCTCAGAGTAACTAGACGTTTGGCTCTGTTGATCAGATTCTTGGCCACAATTACTTTGGTGGCAAACGGGTCTAGGTATCTATCCGAATTTGTCGGCTTTTTGAAAATGTTTATTTTATACTTTGGTGGCACCAAAGTAACTGTGGCCAAGAATCTGATCCACAGAGCCAAACGTCTAGTCACTGACGAGGAAGATATTAGCAAGGAACTAAAATTGGTTCAATCCACTCTTGAATCAAATAACCAGATATCACGTTTAATATAGAAGAACTTCATTTAACATGCTGTTTTTCATGAATATGCTGTCATTCGCCCAGTGTCTCATTCACTAAATTTCTGACTGAGTATTCCAAAGTCATTGATGAGCTCGTGCCACCTCGGTGTCAAAACTCTAACTCCGCCATTAGATTAATTTAGTATCACAAGATAATCAATCACTCAATAAAAAGAAGAAAGTATTTTCTAAAAACCAACCTCATTACAACTAATAATTACAGTAGATATCAAGGTTGTAAAGCTGCAGCATACAAACTGCTTATGCACATCAGCTATTTTCTATAATCTCATATTCACCTGTAACATACATGAACATGCTTAAACAATCGTGAAAATAAGAAGAAAAAGAAATCACAAAACTAGCGCAGTTTTATCACTATCAAATACCTACCTTAATGGTACATATCTCAGGTTCAATGTTATGCATCTTTTCATTCAACAGTTGGATCTTGCGATTCAATTCGTTGATTTGTTCTTTTAGCACGTTTTCTTCATTATAGTTACTCTCAAAACTTGCCAGCTCTTTATCTATTTCATTCGATCGATCATAGGCTTTCTTCATATCTTCATCACTTGGAGCGCCCAGTGTTATACTGATAGATGATTTCAGATTCTAGGACAAAGAAAGCAAGGAAATTGTATGGTTATTATTATTACCATCAGTAGTAGTAGCAGTACTACTATTACTACGAATAGTATTCACTTAGGTTCCGAGTGGAACACACGGCTTTACAACAGGACACTCCCATTTTCCTTGTGGTCACTATCAGCCAGCTCCACGATCCCTCATAAACTCTTATCTACTCCAGGTCACACTCGCACACCCAACTCATCGTTTCCCATTCGAGTTCCACTCGACACCCTGGTACCCACACGATGTCATTCAATAGTGGTCTCCTCACTCAGTGTACATCCGATCTATCGCCACTTTCGTCAACCAATTTGTCGATCAATAAGTTTTTGGTTGGCTTCTTGTCAAACAGAGTACCTTGTTGGTTATCTCTTCTGAACATCTGATCTTCAATGAGAAGCCAACCGTGGCAGCTGGTGACCACAAGCTGTAGTAGCCTGTGTCGAGATGCTTGTGATGACACGCCAAGTACCCGAACCACATAGAAGCACAGATTCATTTATTATTGGTGTTAACAATTCGAATTTCGTTCAATATTCTTAGCGCACAGGAGACTTCAAAACTGATTTCAAAGTTATAAAGTTCTTCCCTGCATTTTGTCTGCTGGCTGGCTTTCACATCCTCATCCATGCGCCACTGTCCAGAGTAGAAGCAATTCTACCTGGATAAGTGGAAAAAAATGACTGCCGTCAAATTCCTCTTCTTGATAATGATTGACGCTTCTTGTTGTTGGTGGTGATGACGACGGTTAGATGTCTTCACCCATGTCTTCTCTACGTTCACTTAAAGCGCTTTCTTCACCTCCTCTTCTACCGACCTGTTGGTTTGCAGCCTGTGCATCTTCCAGTTTGTATGACATCAAAGATAAATCATCCGTTAAGGTCAAATCTTCTACAGTCTTCTTGTTGCCCCAACATATTCCTATCTTCTCGCTCCTACCCACGGTCTCACGCATGATCTCCTCCACCTCTAGTTCACACTTGTCTACTTGTAATTATCCCTCCCTAATCCCATCCTGGGAAAAAGAGGGAACGTTGGGCGTAAGGCTGGCAACCATAGCCAAAAAAGTCAACCCAATCGCTACACAAACTACAATGCATAGCAAAAATACCAAAAATAAAGAATAATACGTCAATACTTCACTTTACAAACACATACACACCGTCAATGTCCAACATTCTCGAATGATAAATGCAGTCGTTACGGCTTTCTTTTCAAAAAATCCACAACATTAAAATAAATTCAAGATTTCCTACACGTGAAAACTTTCGCGCAAAATTTGCCAACAATTACCTAAACCACAGTTAACTACTTACTACACATCAACTTTGAGGAAAATAACCTTCAAGTTATTGAAACTTTTCCACACTAGTGTTATCATATGTACACAACAGACATGAAACTCAATCCAAACAGTCTCACACCTTGGATTGATGATTAATACAATTGTACATCTATTTTCTCTACCCTTATATATGTGCATACCACACGTACAATAAGTTCAGTGAAGGCATGACATAAACATCACCTCACTCTCTTTGCCATCTAAAAATAACCACTGTTTAAAAGAATATATATGAGATGGTCCAATTTTTTCCTACCAATTACTCCAAATACCTCATTCAGTAGAGGTTGACAGTCTTATTGATTAAGTAGCTTGCCTATCTCACGATATACCCTCTCTCTCTCTATCTGTTTACTCAATGATGGTTACACAACAGCAAAAGGCTCAAATGTCGAATGTTATCTAAGGATAAATCTTAGGCACTCTGGTAGAGTTTAATTCCGTTATGTGTTAAAATTTTTATTTTGATAAAGTCACACAGTGTTATACAGTAATATTTACTGATGACGACGTCTCGAACAGAAATTATTACTGCTCATAAGCATATCAAGGTACTCACATTACTTTCTTGCTTCATTTATATACACGAGTAAAACTTGAAGATTAGACATTTGAATAAAATCAATATAAGATAAAACACATTCGGAAATAATGTTAGTGCTATCACTAAAATACAATAAGATGAGAAATAAGATGTCTTGATAGCAAAATTGATAAATAACTTGTTAGATTATTATAATGCGAACTAATGGAGTACATTTTAACATTATTTATTATCCTCTTCTGATTTGACTGGTAATAACATCTTCCATATCTCTTGGATTGGCGTTGAGTCACTTCTATTGCATGTGTTGCGTTGGGTGTAGACTCGATGAACCAGGATTCAGTAATCAGTTTCTCTCTATTTCCCAGCTACCTATATTACTTCTTAAAATTCTAACCCTCTCTCACCCTATTGTGTGGCTATGTGTAAATGCATGCAGTGCAATTACTGAGTTATTGCTAAATTACTTATCTTCACAGGATCAATCATTCTAACCTTAGCTAAATTATTATGTTCTGATAATCTCACCACTCCCGATCTACTAGTTTTACCTATGTAGTCGACTTAACTCATAGTCATTGCAGGGTATTTTGTAAATTATATTATTTTGTCTAATCGGGTCAACCGACAGGGTACTTAAGCCTACAAGCTTTTCTCTGAGTGAATTGTAGGAGGGTTTGAATGCCATCCTAAATCCTGCTTTATTCAGAATCCTACGTAGAGTTTCAGATGTCCCCTCCGTATATGGTAAAACTGTAGATGCCTTATATTCTTTCTCATTTATGTTATCATTATTAGTTTCCTCATGATTTGCTTTTTTGACCTTTTCTGATCCTCCTTATGAATTTTATAGGACAATCGAATGTCATCATAAATAAAAAAAACTCCCTAATTCCCATGTACACGTTTCACAGACATTTCACAGGACAAGATGAACGACACTGACGACTGATTATACAACTTATCAAAATAATAGATACTATCACTTGAAAAGAGAACAATCACAAGTCTTTTGTATCCATCATCGACCAGACAGACAACTGACTATCTACTCCAACCTCTATGTGCAACAGATCAATCTCATATAGAGTTGTTAAACACTCAAAAAAATAACACAAAACCTTAACATAAAAACATACCTGAATTACAGAGTCAGTAATATTAGGGTCTCCGCGTTTTTTCTTAAACAACGACAACTTCAATTCATGAATGAGCTTGTTCACTGATGCTTTCTCATTAGCATTTCCATCACCTTCAGCAACGGGAATGCTAAATTCACTTAACTAAAACAATATTTTTAAAAATTGGATTAAACGGATATGAATAAGTGATAACAGTAATCACCTGTTTCGCATGCTCCACTCCTTCTCTTAACCAATTCAATGCGGTTACAATGGAATTCCATGCCTGAGGAGCACCAGGTGCGACTAAATGAAGTTTACTCAGAGGGTTAGGATAGCCAAGCTTCTTAAGAGTACTGCAGCACATAGAAAAAAATTAGTTCTTTTTAAAAACAAAACAAAACAAAAAAATTAAAATGGACTACACCCCCCACCCACCTTACAAGTACTTCTTCTGGTTTCATCACACCACCTTTAATACGAAATGATGGATCAATTTGACGTATAACATGCTCAAATATTGAAAATATCTCCTTGGAATTCAGTGTCAATGAAGCCTCGGGTGTTGAACTGCAGTAGTCCGTATTGACTAAAAACTGTATTTGCATTTTAGTGATAATTCGACTATTTCTTTTACTTGCATTAGACTTTCAACCATTTCGTTAGGCTGTGGTCTGTATTTCACATCACGATTTACAGATTTTTGTTCTTGTCCAACAACAGATGGTGCTCTGGAAAAGAGCAATCAAAGTCATATGAAGGCGAATAATGAAAAAATTTACCTTGTCTGACGACTCTTTCTATCCGATTGAAGACTGTAGTTGCGACGCATAATCAAATCTAGATCAACAAAAGTTTTCAGATAATTAAAGAGCGTATACTATAAAGCGAATATTTGTAAGTTCATGGAGAATTTAAAAAAACTGACTAGTTTCTACATTTACATTTACATGAACACTGACTGACTGCCTGTCTGCCTGACTAATTGACTGACCGGTTCCAACGTAGAACATTGATTGCACCGATGTGCAGCAGTTCGAGTCGTCACACTTCAACTCAGCATACACAGACAGAGAATAAAGTAAAAAGAAACGCAAAATAGAGACAGTAAACACAGATATGAGGCAGAAAGAATAGTAGTATCGAAGATCAATATAGTTTTATTGGGTATAATAAGTCACAAGAAGTGAATGCATCTGCGCTAACCAATGACAACGATTTTCAGCCATATCACTAATTGTCTCCAGCCATTAGTTTTTACCATCCTGAGGACCCCAAACAGTCAGGAAGTCTACATCTTCCTATGTGGATTTCATTGACTGATGAAGCCATATTTTGGTTGGAGCACCACTAACTAGCTCTTTTTCAACATGACTCTATGTCAGCTGACTGACATTGACCGTCGAGGAAGGCGATGACTAGGCATGCGTGCGTAACACATGTCCTAACCATCTCAGTTGATGTAATTTCACAGTCTCGTCGATTGATTTCCCCTCCTTACCCAGCACTCGACGCCTATCCTCAATATTGCTCACCCTACTATACCATTTTACACGGGAGGTAGAACGCAGGCACTTATTATGAAAGACAGCTAGACAGGTTTTTCATTTCTTCCACTCTCAATGGCCAGGTCTCACACCCATAAAGCAGGATGGAGCGGACTGATGAGCAGTACACACGTCCTTTCGTCGACAGCCAGCCGGATATCACACCTCCTAAGCCATAGATGGCGTAAACTCGCATATGCGAAACGAGTCTTCTGTATCCGTGCTGAGATTTCGTCAACGATCAACCCACTGGCGTTGGCTGATGCAATTTCCCAAATGAGTGAAGTGGTCAACGCGCTCAACCACTTCACTTCCTATTTTTAAACTAGGCGTCGATGTAACATCATCTTGCATTTGGCGGGAGCGAATTGCATGCCAAACATTCGAAGAGTGCAGCTCAAGGCGTTCAAAGACTCTGCATTTCGTCAGCGTCTTCACCTACAAGGACTATATCATCTGCATATTCTAAGCCAACGAAATTATTCCCTGGTAGCAAGTCAATCCCTGAGTCGCTGAAGTGAGTTACGGTTAAGTCCATTGGAACACACATCTATGATGAAATTGAATAGAAATGGGGATATTGGGCAACCCTGTCGGGCACCACTAGTTTTCACCAGTTCAGATGACAACTCGCCGTAAGCTCTCACCTGACTGGCTGCATGAGTTCGAGTAGAGTACTTTGATCAGTGCAATGTATTTCTCGGCATTCCTTTTACAGTCAAACATCGCCAGAGTACCTCTCGGTAGACAGAATCGAGTACGGCCTTTAGGTCAAAAAATATATCGATTGTTGGACGTAGGTAAGTATGCCTACATGTACACTTCCGTGTATAAATCCTGACTTCGTTTATTTGTTTGAATTTTTATCTGATTTCTTCGTCTCATATTTGACCTACATTCGTCTGTTATATGACGATGTATAACACAATCAATATGTTGCCGTCCAAATGAAACACTGATATTACAAAAACAGAAATAAGTGATATCCACTCCGTTTAACGTAGCCACAGCCTACTGCTTTAGCCAGCCAACAAGTCAAAATACTTTCTCTTTACTTTCTCTATATTATTTAGAGGATAAGCGGTCTGGACGGATACATCTCTTCGAACATTCTCCAGTTGTTCAGCACATCAATGAGTATGATGAGTATCACTTCAACTATGTACTGCTATTAAACCTTATATACGACTGGTGTAAACCAAATCTAAAAGCAGGCATCCACATTATTATATTGGGTAAAATATCTTAATATTCCCCTCTATAAAATGGACACCTCATGTGATCAGTCTAACCGAGTTTCTGTCAGTATAGTCAAACGCTATATTGATGATCACGTTTTATTTATCAACTACGAGTACACTTCAGTTGTTAATGTTGTTAGCAATCACTGTGTTCAAGAAGCTGCTGCAGTAATTCAGTTGGATATCATGTCTGTGCAAGAAATAATGGAGACTGGCAAAAGTCCCTAACAACCTGTTCATATGTACGAACGTTACAACTTAACAAGTGACTAAGTTTTAAGAGGGAACTTTACACAGAAGTGTATCAGTTCATGTTGCCACACACTGCATGTAACACACAAAAGTAGTAGAGAGGAAGAAATACAAATTCAAAACAACTATAATAAGCAGAAATATACAGAAGAATTGTAACATGCAAAATCAAGAGGGTTTAATGTATCTGGGAGATTACACAGTGGATGTACATGCATCATTGACAACGATTTTGAGCCATATCCCCAATGGTCTTAATCCATTGACGCTTAACATTTCGATGATCCCAATTGTGGACTAATAATTGGTTTTGATTGACGCAGACGTCATGTCCGGTTAACAATCAAAAGATGCGTTTACTGTGCACCAGCTCGCTATATCATCCTTTAAGGCTGTCAGAAATGGCCCTTGAAAGTGGAAGATATGAAAAGGTAATCTATCTTTGACCACGGAAATATGCGTTCCATCTCCAGTGTCAACTGGTATAATATGGTAAGTAATATTCAGATGAGGTTTAATGTTAGGTAAGGAGAGTAAGTTTATCAATGAGGCTATGAAGCTATATCGATCGAGATGGCTAGGACATACGTTACGAATTCAGAGTCACCTCCTCCAGAAATGATAGCTGACATTCGATTAAGTTGGGGAAGTTAGGGTTGGTCAATCAGAGCCTCGTATTAGTCCATGGTTGAGGTCGTCGAAATGTTAAGGATCAATGCATAGAGACCAATCAAGATGTGGCTCAAAAAAATTATGACTGACTCACTCTCTGTAATCTCACAGATAAATTACCTCCTTTCGATTTTATTTATTTTTACTATTCTTTCTCCCGTACGTTTCTGAGCATTACTGTTCCTTTCAATTTTTTTCACTTTTCTAATTTCGTGTGCCACAGGGAGTGTGGTGACTTGAACTGATGCACCCCTGGGCAGATTTCTATCTTAAAACTCGGTCAGTAACTCAAGACGGTAGACCGAATGAAAGCATTTGTCGGCGTATCGTCAATAAATCCAACCGTTTCAATGCCTAGCCCTAAATTAAAAATCGATGAACATCAATCATGCAGCACTTCACATTCGGCAAGAGTAAGTCACACGCCACATATGCTCAGCTCTCCAATGTTTTCACAAGACTCTGTATTTCACCAGTGTGTCTGCAAAGACTACAGCCGCCTCCCACTAAATAACGAGATTTCCATTGGTTGCAAGCCAATCCTTCAGACAGCATATTTCAGTACACCTATTAAATAAATACCACGATAGCCGATATCGTTGGCGAACGCTTTTAAATCAACACAGTTATATGCAACATAGAAGGACCTGAAGGAAAATTCCTGCCAGCCAGTATAGCCCCTTTCACTACTGCAATATGCGACCTACACCTTCAAATTTAAGTAGTACCCAACACTACAGACAAGACTATCTAGAATGTTACGTTTGGACAATTGAAAACAAGCTCAGGTACATGCCTTTTACATGAAAACGCTGTAAATAAATTATTTTAGCTACCGTTAAAATGCACATAATATGGTGCAGGCAACCCTAAAGATAAATCGGATGACAATATGCGAGGAATTAAAATGAAACACGGTTGTGTGAGAAAATACAATAAAATAAGTCATTGTTGACAATTCTTTTGGAATAAGCAAAGAGATTTACACATGCCTTCTAAGCTCACGTGTGAATAATTCAGATTGGACCACTTTGCTAAACCCTGAAACATGCAAGTAATTATAACAGCTTAAAAATAGTCTTATTTCAACACAACACTATCATCAAATCTCACAGTAGATGGATTAATGTGCAATTCAGACCCCAAATTCAGTACGTGCGAGGTATATTATTCTACTGAAAGCTCTACTCAAACAGTCCTACGGTGCAACCCATAATCACATATTCATGTTGAATGGTGATCATGGGGGCAACAATAGCTTTAGCTATACGAACTGATCACAAGGAACATATTCTAGTTGACTTCATATGCCTCTAGTTTTAGGAATGACAACCTGAAGATGTTGATGTATTTCACACCATCTAAGTTAAAATGAATTAAGTCTAGTCAGGATCGATCCCTCATCTGATAAAATATAAAAGTTGTCACTGGTTTGACTACCTCCCTAAACAACTACTAAGTCTCAACATAGTGAGTGAGTCGAAAGACAATAAATCCAAGACATGTAAGGTATATTCGACTAACTTTTGATATAAAATTCCACCATTTATCCAAAGTGATGTACCATCACATATTCCGAGTCAGGTGACTTGTGAACAGTTACCGTCACTCCATATTAACTAATTTAAAACAATCTGGGTTGGAGAACATTACTTCCCTAGTGTGATCAGTTGAAAGCTTAATACAGGAGCTGCATGATCACGCAGCAACACAACCACTCTATCCAGACCGACAATCTCTGAGAAACACACCGCACACTATTAATTCGTATCATATAAACTCATCATCAATTCCTGTCCAGTCTCCCTGCCCTCTCACTCATTCACTTACTTTTGGATTATTTGATTTCATTATCCGTCTATTTGTTCATCCGTTTTTCTTTTAAAGCCTACATGGTCACCACTAATTACATTCCTATCACTATTGTTATCGAACTCATCGGACGACTACCCGATGGAAAGATTAACTCCATCCACAACACTACCACTGTCTTAACACAGCAAACTGCGGAACACAGCCAATCTCTACACCAACCATAACTAACGAAGCCCAGTGGCAACACAAACTAACCGGAAGTCTACCGAAGATCACGAACCATTATTATCTTACAACTAAGATGCAACTCAAAGAATTCAGTCTGGTCTACGCTAGCCCTTAGAACTCATACTGGATATCAGAAAGATCCTAGCGAGAATTATAAAGCTTATACATCAGGTTGAAACTCAATGTACACCAGCTCAAATGTTGTGACATATGGTAGTCAGGAGTAGGTGTTGTGAAACGGTTCACGGATCACTTCGCTTTACCGTGGCTGGATCACTGAAAGTTTAACACAACACGGCCTAGTGATGTTGGGAAGATTATTAGAATCTGAAAGACTGGAAAACCATAGTTTTTCACTGAGAGTGAACCGGTTATATGCTGAGACAGGCTGTGAGAGGTCCCAAACGAACTATAATGCTAAAGTAAATCTCGCTAATTCCGAACTAACATTATATATTCAGTGAATCCTGAAACTGTTCTGAAATGGTTTGATCATGCTCACAGTGATGGTTTTCAGCATGACTGACACTAATTCAGCACCCTGTGCTTTTTCTAGGCACTTTCAGAAGTCGCTCAGAACAAACTGGATTTGCTAATCAGTTGTTTCAGCCCTCTCAGCCCAGATTCAGCACTGACTGGCATTACTTCAGAACAAAAAGATTTAGTTTACCACATAGTGGCAATTTTTCAGCTATATTTCAGCACTAAGGGCATTATTTCAGCTACAAATTATATTTCAAAGGTTTCGTCACATTAATTAGGCGTCCAGTTATCTTTTCAGGGAGACGACCAGAGCTATTTCAGTACATAGTTGGTTCATCTTAGGTATATAAAATATTCATTTACCATAAAAAGGCATTATCATCGCATAGGTTAGAAATAGTGGAACTGTAACTGTAGTTCCAGCACACTACATTGCAGTATGGGTATGGGCACAATACATTAAGCGTGGTCACAAAATTCATCAAATCTTACCTAAGACAGCTTGAAGATTTATGCCAGAACTGAATCGACTGACAACGCAGATCCAACTAGACACAACCAGTTTAATCCGAATTCAAAACAACGCTTCCAACTTTGACAAGCACCGAACAATGCGCATAAACAAAACAAAAGTATGTGTTATATGGATTGGAACGCCTTCACCAGTGAAACACGAGAGGATACAACTGACCGACAGACCAAAAGGAGAACCTACACCCACGAGCGAGAACACGAAGACCTGAAGTCACGTGAGAGTTTACTATTACAATAAATTGGACTGAAATTATCACGCACTCTCAGGGTCATTGGGCGGATAAGGCGAATGAATGACAGTTTTATCCATGTAAGTCGGCCATGTTAGATTGCTATTTGTCAACCGTTTGTTCACCCAGAGGGTTTTGTGTTTATCCTGCAGCCACTGGCAACCTATCTCTATGTAGATCATTTATAATTGCTTCGTTTTACATCCTTTCGTCTGGCTGTAGTCTGTAGTCGTCTGTAGTTGTTTCATACTGTGCTTCGTTGCAGTGTTTCAGTTACTTCTCAGCTGTTAATAGAATAATACTACGTACAAGTTTCGGAAGTTATGCATATGAACATGTACATTGCATAAACTTAGGCGCGCATATTCAAAGCACAAGTCCATTGGCAAATCATTCGTGTTTAGTCCACTCATATCGTCCGACAATCGGTCCACTGCGTTCACGCGGCCATGTGGTATACATATTGGTTTCGTAAATGTTACAGATATCTCCTCTCGGAAGATAGGGCACCGTCCCACTGTTGGTACACGGAATCGGATAAACCAGTAGTCCATCTACTGGAACTTTCCATCCTGGAGCGATCAGTGGGGCTTTAGAGATTAATGGGATTGGATAGCGCTCTGGCTTCGACTGGTTATAATGCATTGTCTGGACTTCTGGCTTCTGCAGGTGGCATACAGAAAACGTAAAAGGCGGACATTTGTATATAACTTTATATTGTCCATGACATGAAAGAGGAAACCTACTTAACTGCGCTTGCATAACGCGTGGTCGATATAACCGAACACGTTCTCTTCGAATATATGTATGGTTGGTTTCCTGATGATTGCTCGCAAACTGTCCATGTTCATCTATTCCATATGCAGCCACTATATTCTCTCAGACCTTCCGTAGGCATGGAATGTAGTCCACAGCCTCGTAGGGGAGAAGTGGTGTCTGAATTTCACATGGTAAGCGTAAGTGACGACTGAGGAGTTGAGCCGGTGAGAAACAAGTCGGGGGATGTACGGGCAGACGCCCAGCATGCGAGAGGACATCATGTCAGCACCTCGTCCCAGCAATCCGTTGATGTGTGACTTATGGAATTTATGGAGCAACTCGTTTATCGTTTGACTTGTACGCCCCGTCGAGCGTGTGTTGCCCTGTGGGTGAGACGAAGTGGTTTGTTGCATCCTTTTGGGATTCGAACTTCAGTATGTTAGCAGTCGTTTCAGATATATCCATCGTACCTTTAAAGTGAGCCTGTTAAACGGCTCTGAGGCTATACGCCTGCAACCCTTCTCAGGTTGACCATTTTGAGGTGAATAATGTCCGGACACAAACAAGATTAACCAACATTTACATTAATCAGAACCCTTTCAATTATTTAACATAAACTTATGTACAATGAATACATCAAATGTTGTGAATCCTCAATTTGCGAACTGCAGAACTGAAAGCAGCACGCATACATTCCTTCTCAGGTTGATGATACTAGTGGAAGACGTCCGCAGACTAACAAAGTTACGAACACATAGATGAGAGATGATACCAACTCAGTGTATACAACATGAACATATGTACAAAATTGCATAGCAAGCACATTGGACTGCTCTTCGACGCACTACCCTTGAAGAATTGTGGGACTTACAACAGTACGTCTACCACCCTTCTCAGGTTGACGCCCTAGGTTGGAAAATCGTCCAGTGGTTCATCCTCTGACTCTCGACTCCCAGCACCTTCCAGTAGACACAGTTTTCTAATATCTCGCACCAGCATGCTACAACTTGTTCTCACCTCAACCGTCCTCACCAACCCATCACCACTACAGAGTAGCCTTTCTACCACTCCCAAAGGCCATCTACCTGTGGCACGTCTATCTGCTACTAAGACTATATCACCAGCTTTTAAGTTTCTGCACAACTTTTTCCACTTGTCTCTAGTTTGCAGTGTCAGAACATACCCCTTTAACCATCTTTTCCAAAATATATCTTTCACGTGCCTGGCTTGTTTTCATCTCTTAATCGTAGGCATTCGTTCCACGCTTGAGTCCTCTATTCCAGGGGTGCATCTCAATAAAAATAATTTATTTAGCGTTAACACATCGAAATCTCTCACAGGCGATAGAGGCCGGTCATTTAGTATTCGTTCAGCTTCACGAAAAAATGTCTTCAAAGTTTCGTCATTCAAACTCTGGTTTTTAATTATGGAGCTTAAAATACGCTTGATAATTCCTATAAGTCTTTCCCATAGCCCACCTCTATGGCTGGCATGTGGTGGGTTGAAGTGCCACTCGATGTTTCTTCTCAGTAACTCTTCATGAACTCTCGTTTGCTGACCTTCAAAATAGCTTTAAGCTAGGTGTGACAGCCAACAAAATTAGTCCCTCTATCACCGAACATCATCTTCGGTGCACCTCGGCGATTTATAAATCTACGTAATGCTAGCACGAATGAATCAGTAGTTAACGTGTGAACCATCTCAATATGCACAGCTGTCATTTTCAAACAGGTGAATAAACAGCCATATCTTTTACATAGGGTTCTGCCTCTCTTCACTACAAAAGGTCCGAACAAATCCACTCCAACGTACTCAAATGGATAATTCCCTTCAGAAACTTGCCTCGCTGGGAGTGGCGCCATCATCTGCTGTGCTGAGCGGGCATTCTGTAGTTTACATTCCATGCACTTATCAATTGTTTTACGGAGAGCAGCACCTCCCTTCACTATCCAAAACTTACGTCGAATACTTGATAGTAATTGTGAAGAACCCAAATGACCTTCAAGAACATGGTAGTGTCTTATAATGAGATCAGTGACTGGATGATAGCAAGGTAATAAGGCCGGATGACGGGTCTCATATGACGATTCTAAGATTTGTAGACGTCTACCAACTCTAGCGATCCCTTCGGAAACTATTGGAGATAATCTATCTAACCACACCTTGAAATTTGCGAACTCAGGACTATCCTCCTCGGCAATCTCACCCCACGCTTCCTACTGAGCAGCCCTCAAAATCGCTAACTCCTCATTTCTGGTACCTTCGACTCTCAAAGGTCCCACATTCATATTTTCGTATCCTACAAGATGCATGACCTTTAAATACGTAACATTTCGTCCCAACTACGCAACAGCTTTCGTTAGTTTGTACCAAGAAGAATAGTATTTAAAAAGTGAATGTGAACCGGAATGTCTTTCTTGAGTAGATGTTAAACTGGCACTTGTCTCAAACTCCAAGATACACTCGTTTATCGGTGGTTCATTTTCTCTACGAGGCCACATACTATGAACCCGTAGCAAGAACTCTGGACCCTTCCACCACCTATTTTTAACCACATTCATATCAATAACTCCTCGCAATGCTAGATCAGCTGGATTTTTTCCAGACGGTACGTACCTCCACTGCTCAACAGTTGTTAGTTCACGAATTTGAGATACTCTGTTAGCTACAAAACATGCATATCTTGCTGACTCGTTGCGTATATAATATATCACAGACATCGAATCAGTCCAAAACGTTACAGGATACTTGGGTTAATCCAACTCTTTACACACCGTTGTGAATAACTGCGCCGCTAGCAAGGCTGCAGTAAGTTTTAATCTCGGAATCGAAACCGTCTTTGGAGGTGCAAACCTAGATTTACCCATCACTAGGCTAACATCTATATCACCAAATCCAACCGCAGAGGCATCAGAAAAATCATGGAAGTCAATTATATCATGATTTCTCGATGGCTTAAGTGGACGGAATGGACGGAATGTAGATTCAGCATTCTTAAACTGTTAATCCACCTTTTCCGCTCTTTACTGTGTCTCTCGCTTTATGGTTCATCCCACTGTAACCCTTTCCTGCATGTCTCTTGAAATAATCTCCTCGCCGGAAGTAGATAAGGTGCTACTGATCCAAGTGGGCCAAACACGGACGACAACACGGAGAGCAAACTTCTCCGTGTAACTGGCTTACCAATATCACCAACACTAAATCCAAAGGTATCAGAGTTCACATGCCAACTGCGTTCAACTGGTAGAGTATCAACAGGTAAATCTCGTACAGTAGGTGCTCTGTCTTCTGGAACTATATGCTTCAAAACGTCTAGGCTGTTCGAGACCAACTTAGTTAGACGAAAGCCAGCCTTAGTTAACAGCTCAGTAATACTTGTTGCAAATTTAACTGCAGACTTATCATCATCGAAGGAGGCTAAACAATCATCCACATAGAAGCAACAATCGATGACATCCATCAGATCATTAGAACCAAATGTGGACACTGCCTTTCGTATAGCAAAATTAGCACAAAACGGGGAGGACGTGGCGCCAAATGGATGGACTGTCATCCTGACATCTTACCACAAGGACCATCATCAAACCACAAGAACCTTAAGTGATATCTATCACTCTCTGGCACCTTCACTTGTAGGAACATTTCCCCTATATCCGCAGCGACAACAACTGCAAACTTTCTGAATCTTAACAGCAGTCCAACTAATGAGGTCACGCAATCTGGGCCACTATACAGATTATCATTCAAAGAGACTCCCTCATGTTTCGCAGAACAATCGAACGCCACACGGAGTTTACCTGGCTTCCTCGGGTTAAAGACGGGATGATGGGGCAAATACCACTTCCCTGGCTCGCTTTGATCAACTAGTTTTTCAACGTAACCATTCATTACATGTTTATCAACTGCATCCTTATATTTGGTCCAGAGGTCTGCATCCGTCAGAAACTTCTTCTTTGAACCCACTGGTGTCTTAAGAGCAACCTTTCTGTTACAAACTGTATATCTTTTATAATAATAATAATTTATATTTTCAGATAAACATAAATTTACATGGTAGGCCAACGCTGAAACGCCCATTTCCGTA